GATGTAACCATCATGAATTTTGGCGAAAATCGTGATGGAATGGATGTCCTTTTTTCTGGTGCCAATCAGTTGGCAGGACTCTCACGGATACGAAATGAAATGCCACGCCCCGATCGGCTTCCGTATAGCTGAGATATGGCTTACAGAAAAAACCACTATTTGCATGATGTGTAAACCCAGATCTTCGGCAGGCTATATCTCGGGAAAATAGGACCAGATCGACGAAGGACCTAGTCTCCCAGGATCGTGAGGACCCAGCCTGTCGAAGAGCATCAAAATCTCGACCTCGAAAATGAGGCCGATTTTTGGCAAATTGGATGATGTAACCATCATGAATTTTGGCGAAAATCGTGATGGAATGGATGTCCTTTTTTCTGGTGCCAATCAGTTGGCAGGACTCTCACGGATACGAAATGACATGCCACGCCCCGATCGGCTGCCGTATTGCAGAGATATAGCTTGCAGAAAAAACCAGTATTTGCATAATGTGCAAATCCAAATCTTCCAAATGCTATATCTTAGCTAAATACGGCCAGATCGGTGAAGGACCTACCTTCCCAGGATCGTGGGGATCCAGACCGTCGATCGGCATCAAAATCTCGACCTCGAAAATGAGGCCGATTTTTGGCAAATTGGATGATGTAACCATCATGAATTTTGGCGAAAATCGTGATGGAATGGATGTCCTTTTTTCTGGTGCCAATCAGTTGGCAGGACTCTCACGGATACGAAATGACATGCCACGCCCCGATCGGCTGCCGTATTGCAGAGATATAGCTTGCAGAAAAAACCAGTATTTGCATAATGTGCAAATCCAAATCTTCCAAATGCTATATCTTAGCTAAATACGGCCAGATCGGTGAAGGACCTACCTTCCCAGGATCGTGGGGATCCAGACCGTCGATCGGCATCAAAATCTCGACCTCGAAAATGAGGCCGATTTTTGGCAAATTGGATGATGTAACCATCATGAATTTTGGCGAAAATCGTGATGGAATGGATGTCCTTTTTTCTGGTGCCAATCAGTTGGCAGGACTCTCACGGATACGAAATGACATGCCACGCCCCGATCGGCTTCCGTATAGCTGAGATATGGCTTACAGAAAAAACCACTATTTGCATGATGTGTAAACCCAGATCTTCGGCAGGCTATATCTCGGGAAAATAGGACCAGATCGACGAAGGACCTAGTCTCCCAGGATCGTGAGGACCCAGCCTGTCGAAGAGCATCAAAATCTCGACCTCGAAAATGAGGCCGATTTTTGGCAAATTGGATGATGTAACCATCATGAATTTTGGCGAAAATCGTGATGGAATGGATGTCCTTTTTTCTGGTGCCAATCAGTTGGCAGGATTCTCACGGATACGAAATGACATGCCACGCCCCGATCGGCTGCCGTATTGCAGAGATATAGCTTGCAGAAAAAACCAGTATTTGCATAATGTGCAAATCCAAATCTTCCAAATGCTATATCTTAGCTAAATACGGCCAGATCGGTGAAGGACCTACCTTCCCAGGATCGTGGGGATCCAGACCGTCGATCGGCATCAAAATCTCGACCTCGAAAATGAGGCCGATTTTTGGCAAATTGGATGATGTAACCATCATGAATTTTGGCGAAAATCGTGATGGAATGGAAGTCCTTTTTTCTGGTGCCAGTCGATTGGCAGGACTCTTCCGGTCACGAAATGACATGCCACGCCCCGATCGGCCCACAAATAGTCGAGATATAGCCAACGAAAATTTAAGTTTAGTCCGACGTCAAACGGCGAAAACACGGTAATTTCAAATCTCGGTACCAGGCGAACAGAAATCAGCAGAAGGCAACTTTGTGTTTGTTCAACCCCAAAAGTATGCTATGCTTTAAATTCAAGTTTTCTCTGTAACTAAAAGTATGCAACACTAAATTTCGTATTCGCTAAAGTTGCCTTCTGCTTATTTCTGTTCGCCTGGTATCTCGGCCTGAAATTTCTTCATTTTCTGCCATTTGAGCGGTCGCAAGTAGCAACAAAAATCGTTGGAGAAAAGTTGTTTTTCTAATTTTTGTTGTAGAGCAAAATACAATACAAGCCAGTTTTGTTTTATTGTTTTCTCCGCTATTTGTGGCCCGATCTGTCAGTGTGATGACTTCCTTTGATCGGAAAAATGTCCCCGACTTAATGGAGCCCTTATCAAGGATGCAGAATATTTTTCCTAGTCAAACATATGTTTTATTTATTCACTTATTTATTTATTTTTTGTATTATTTTCTTATTTAACTTATGTATTTCTATCTTAAATAATACCAATAAATAACAAAATTATATATGGAATACGAAAAAAATCAATAATCTGACGGCTGCTTTCCCCTGGCAAATCATCAAATCGCATCCCAGCTGGCAGCCCATTGTGGGCCTTTATTGCCATAGTTGGTCCGGTAGAGATCAACCACAAGGGGTGCATGGGTCCTTATGCTCCTGTCAGGCGTACTGAAGCCAATCCTTCGAAGCAGGTCAGGGCAACCGATGTTACCCACTAAGAGGTCATCGATAAGGATTTGAGCAGCAACGGTCCTTCGGTCCATCGATCTTCGAGGGAGGAGAGATGCACTAGGCGACGTCTGCACTCATAGGGCGGCAACGGGATGGAAAAGTCCAAACGCTGGAGTGCAAACTTCAGAAACTTCCTCTGCAGTGTGTCGATACCTGCAAATTGAACGACCCCAGAGGGGTTTTATATAATATCATTCGTAAAAAATTAAGTTTTAAAAGAAACCTGGAATGTTAAAACTAAATAAATACATATCTTTTAAAATAATTTTCTTAGGCCAATCGGTGGGCGGGACTCTCTCGAGCATGAAAAGACATGCCACGCTTAGATGGACTGAGACATAGCCGAGTTATATGGACGAAAAAGAAAAATGATTTTATGCGATAAATCAAGCAATTGGATCTATAGGATTGGGTAGTTTTGAAGCGAGTAGTTGTATTCCTTTATTTTTAATTTTTAACAGAAAAAGAACATGACTTCCTTTCCGAAATCTAAAAAAAAACTGCGCTTTTGATGCCAATCGATCAGATCAATGCTGGAGTCGTACATGATCTGTATAAAGCAGCCTCGGTGCCAAAATTATGCCCAAAAAATCCAGTTTGGGTTGCAACTTTTTGGCAAGGAAATTTTTTACATTTGCTAAAGTTTTAGCAGATCTGAAAACTGCGAGATCTCGATCGTTTGGAGGCATCAAGGACAATAAGGGTATTGTTTTTTTAACGTTTAATAGCTATAACATCGTTCGATCTGGACGGACCATGCCTTCTCTTGATCGAGAGAATATCCCTAAAATCTACTCTGTAATATTTATATTTCTATTTAAAGTTAAATTTTTTATTTGTATGGTATTTTTATTTTGTTATATACATATGTATGTATAAATATTGAATTGTTTGAATTTTGGTATTTTCAAAGTTTCAAATACATATGTACAATGTGAATTGTTCAAATATGCATACATAATATGGTTATTTTTGTAGAAAAAAATAAAAGCAAAAACTTGACAGAAAAGGGAAAGGAAAGGAACAAGTGCTTCCCAAAACCAGAAAATTGATTAACTTAAGCAGCATCGAATTTTGCGGTTTTAAGCTTGAATTTCATTGAAGATTTTGCAAGAATTCGTCGGAACGAGATGATCACATTGAGATGATATGGGGAAAACTGGTTCCTCAATTGACGTACATTTCGTCAGGCAGATGTTGTCCGAAAGCGTTGAGGCGGAAACTGCTCAAAACTTATTTTACTTAATCTTAATTGGAAATTCAAGCCGAAATCTCCGGCAAGAGGCAGCCTTACTCCTCTATGCAAATGTCAAGAGTGGCAAAAATAGACAATGACAATTCGGAAAGGTCTCTCGTCGAACGGCAAAACACTTTGGCACACTTTGGAACTGTGGCGTCCAGCGATCAGCGATCAGCGGGCATGGCGACAAAAAAACGCTCTGGCTGGAGGCAGTTCGTCACGCCTTAAGACGCCTCTCTGTCATTTAGCAGCCGTCGAGCCACGACGTATCACTCGCTTGGCCATAAATGGCTTTAATTTAGCTTTAAAATGATCAAGGTCGTGGCGTAAAAAAATAACAGCTTTTGAATTGGGACGACGAGACGTCAGAGAGGCGCTACTTAGCCATAAAAAAAAGAAAAAAAATACAGATTGGAAAGATGTATCTTTCTTCAATTGGTTTCTGGCAAGGCGAATACAGTATACGCTTGTCGGAGCAGTGGCTGGAGCTCAGAGTTCATCTTAGAGAGGCACTCATGGAGTGTTTTTCAACAAACCATCCAAATCTGCAGAGTTTTAACTTAAACATGTGAAATATTGTCAAAACTACCCTTTCCTTAGCTGCCACGGTTTCAAGTGGTATTTAGTACGGAAAAACATTAATGATACGCACTGTTGACAGACACAACTGAAAAATCCATGTACCCTCTGCTCGGGCATTAGGTATACTTAAATAAAAAGCAACTTCAGAGACATATGAATATGTATGTGTGTATGTGGGGGGCATTCAAAATGCAGTGGTTTTTTGACGGTGTGTTTGGCGTGGGCACGCCCAGACTGACACACTTCCGACACACAGAAGCGAGGGCTAGGCCAGGTTGGGCAGACAGCAGACAGCAGACAGAGCCAAGAACCAAGAGGCCTTCTGGAATCTGCCAGAAGTGCCTAGATGGTCGCATATAAATTATGGCCAAGAATGCCATTTGCATAATGGCAAACCGAGCTCCACTGCACTCCACGGCACTCCACACACATGCAGTCCACTTGATTGTCCACAGCTACTCACCACAGTGCACCACAGTGCACCAGCAGAGAAGCTGAGCAGCAGAGTGGATGCGAACGAACCCCTTTAGAGACCGACTACCACCACCATTTTGCATATAAAAGAGCACCACCACAGTGCCGCACTGCTCTCTTCTTTCAGGCAGCGATCCAGTCACGACCGAGCCACAGACTTGTGCAACACACACACAAACAAGCGGAAAAAGCCGGGCTTGGTACTGAACAGAGCTTTCGTGTGGATCGCGTTTCGGAGCCACCTACCCCGCTGTGGATCGTGCACGGAGACTGCAGAAAGCTCAACGCTGAACGTTGCTGGGCCGTGCGCTCGACGCTTTCCAAAACCCACCACAGAGGCACGAAAGAGACGTCGTCGTGGCCGCCGTGTAATAAAAGAAGCAAATCCGACTTCGTCTGGGGCTTTGGTGTCAGAGAGGGGTTCGAGAAATTGTGCGCGGCTCGTATAAGACAGTGTAAATGGAGCTTTGATAGCGATCGGAAGGACAAAACTTGCTCTCAGCCGTCGATCTCCAAATCCAGTGTTTTTCCTTACTGTGTGTTAACCGTAACAGAAAACAAAAAACAACCCAATAAAACTGTGCGCAAACGAACGAAATACTCAACAGATTTCCAGTCAGCCTTAAGTCAAAGATGGCAAAACTGTTTGTGGTTTTTGCCGTTCTGGCTTTGGCGGCCTTTAACGAAGGTAAGAGGGTCTCAGCCGAAACACTAAAGTATATGTTGCTTCTCTCCGCTTCCATTCCACCTAGTTTTAAGTTTTAATTATTGAACTGCAATTTGCATTTGGCCCGGCTGGCGGAAGTTGTCAAGACATCAATTAAAATGGCTCGACTGGTCTTCGGCCTTCAGAAAAAATGAAGGAAAAAAAAAAGAAAAAAACAAAAACGCAAAGGGGAAAATCGAAACGAAATTTAAAAGCAGTCTTCGAGATGTGAATGTGAGGCTTAGTAACCTTGATTATGCAAAGGAAAAGGACGAGCAGATAAGTGGCTCCGACTAGTTTGGTGAAAAAACAACTTTCATTTTTCAAGGGAGCCCCGTACCTTGAGCCGAAGAGAAATCCCCACACCACGTAGCACATACCACGTACCACACACCACACACCACACACCACATAGCACATACCACATACCACATACTACACTCCCGTTGACATTTAAGCTGCTCTCCGATGAATGCAGTTCGCAGATCTCCTGGCACGCCGAGCGACTCTTGACTTTGACAGGCCATCGATCATGATTATGAAGGCGAAACGAATCGAAACGAAACGAAACGAAACATACATAAATAAATACTGGCTGCTGGTGCTGCCACTGTTACCAGCTGTCAATTAACGGTTATGCAAATGTGGCAACTCCCCCTCGACGCGGACTCGGACTCGGACTCGGACACGGACTGTTGCCAACTGCCAGCGAAATGCAAAATGTCAAAGTTATAGCGCAGGCGCAACAAGTTTTCGGAATGCCATGGAACAATTTCTGTTTCTATACAATACAGACAGACAGACGGACAGACAGTCGGACAGATAGACAGATATTTTTGTGTTTCTGCGCTCGGTTCTCTGGTGACATCGTATTTCATAATGCCAAACGTGTTTGCAGGCCAACACAAAGCAACACAACACAACACAACCAGCCAGACGACATGCCATGTCTATATCTATATCTATATCTAAGCCATATACTATAAAGCCGAGCATATAGCCATACCCATGCCCGTGCCCATGCCCGTGCCCGACTCGATCTGTGCTTTTGTAACAGGAAGTGCCAGAGAGAGCCACGGCGACATGGCGACATGGTCCGCACCGAACCCAACCCAACCCACATTCGCAATTGAAATTCTTCCGGTTTGGCAACTCACTCACTGACAAATCGAACCACACTCTGGTTTCCTCTTGCTCCTTCCGTTCATCCACAGCCAATGCCAGCGATCCGCTGCTCCGATTCAAGCGACAGGCCACCACCGAAGAGACCAAGAAGGAGGAGTCGTTCGAGAAGGAGCTCTGCAAGGACAAGGATGCCGGCGAGTGGTTCCGCCTGGTGGCCGGCGAAGGCGACAACTGTCGCGACGTCATCCAGTGCACCTCATCGGTAGGTCCAGCACAGCCACACGATTGATTTACACACACCCATAACCCTCGGTTTCTTCCCCGTATTCGTTGTATCCTTGCAGGGCCTGCAAGCCATTCGCTGCCCTGCCGGTCTGTACTTCGACATTGAGAAGCAGACCTGCGACTGGAAGGAGTCGGTGAAGAACTGCAAGTCCAAGAACAAGGAGCGCCGTGTCAAGCCTCTGCTCCACACGGACGAGCCACTCTGCCAGGACGGCTTCCTCGCGTGCGGCGATGGCAACTGCATTGAGCGCGGCCTCTTCTGCAACGGCGAGAAGGATTGCTCCGATGGTTCCGATGAGAACACCTGTGGTGAGTCCAAGATAAAATACTATAATAATTCAAGAAGTCGTGCAGACACCTTTTGGGGTATTCAGTTACAGAGAGGTTTCCAAAAACCCATGGCTACTATGATTAATGAGGTTTATCTTTTCATTGCCCACTCATTGCCACAATCCAAAGCCCTAAAAATCGAGTTATTTGTTGAGAGGATCAAGGATCGAGCGAAGCTATAATCCAGTGATCTGTCATTTAATTTTGGAGCACTTTTCTATTCAATTTGACATTTGACAACAATGATTCACAATGATTCAGCACTCTATAGAAGTAAGCCGCCAGATATTGCATGGGATTGGGATTGGGATTGGGATTGGCTTTCCCAAAATAGGCTGAGTATTATTACTCCATCATCTCAAGATGTAAGTCTTCAAGTGGCTCAAATATGTATATTCAAGCCTATGTGTGGCTGTCTGCCTGTCCGCCTGTCTTGTCTTTTGGCCGGGCGCCAAGTCGAATTTCTTTCAGTTATTCCAGTCGCAACAAGAGTCGCACCTTAAAACCGGTTGACGGCATTTAAGACATTACTTCAATGCGACCATTACAGCCCCGAGAGAGGGTAGAGGACGGACACAGAGACAGCGGCAGAGACAGAAACAGACACTCCACTCGGCTCTCGAAAACTCCGACAACGGCATACAAGTGTCTGTCTGGGATTGGGATTGGGATAGAGATAGAGATTGGGGGATGCGGCGAGGATCATTGGGATGCCAATGACGCCTACATGCAACGGATCCGATCCGATCCGATCCGACTCTTGCTGCATTGTTGCACAGATCCGCGACACCGACCGGTTTCGTAAAGGCCCTTAGCGGCGTCTCGGCCGGCCCCGACACGAATCTCTAATGGAAATCGACTTTCGGGTGGAAATGTCAAGTGTGAAATGGAAACGAAATGAAATGTCAGACACAAAGACCCCTCCCCCTCCCCCCCCTGCGGGGGCCCCCAGCGATCCGCAGATCTCTCACATGAATTACCAAGATCTGCAGCCCGTACTGCCCGGCCCGTACTGCTCGTACCTCTGGTAGATACGAGCACTCGCATATGAAATATTAAATCACTAATTAGCAACATCCATCGCAACAGAGCGCTAACCTTGGACTTAATAGAAATCAAATCGAAGCACAACAAAATGCCTCTCCATAGGCGTTCCGAAGCGCGTTCGATTCATGTGTAAATTAGCCTTACATAAGCGGCTTAAGAGACCCATTCCATTCGCCGCAGTCGCATTTGTTTGTATATATTTTTAGCAATTGCAAAAAGCCGCAAAAAACCAAAGCCAAAAGCAGCAGCAAAATAAATAAACTAAACATCGAGACAGCAGACTGTGTAAAAACCACAACTAATTTATAATAATACCAATAACAACAGACACCGAAGACTGGCATCGGGTCGGGCCGGGGCTGTCTGGGATGCGATTAGTACTATGTATATCTCTGCTCATCGTCTGCGACGATCACCTGGCACGAGCGACATTTCCCCAAGAGACTCACGTGGCATATAAACGATGCCTTAACGAGCTAATTAATGCCGATCCGTACAGATATCAGATACAGAGCCATCAGGCATAAGCCACCGCCTGCCACCGTGCTCGAAGCTCATTCTGAGACCTCGCTTCTTTGTAGATTGTTGCACATCGCGTTGGCTGAATGCAAGGAAAAAACATGCACAGCGCCAGAAGGCGTAACTCTTGAAATGCTCAGCGGACCATTAACTTGTAAACAATTGGATAACCAAAGCCCAAGTTTAGCCCCGCACTCCACAATGAGGAAGCCCACGTCACTTGAGGGGACCGATTAGATGGTCATACTTTGTAGGTTTTGGCACTAGAGGCACTGCAATAAGGAACGTGTAAAAACGAATTTTGCAAGCCCTGTTGGACAAAGAAAACTATGGAAAATACTGCGGGAAAATTGGCATATTGGGGGGAATCGAAAGGGAGTTTGGGCTTGTATTTCGCAACCCGAGCTTGTATCAATCACCTCCAGTGATCCCGGCCCGACTTCATCTCTCCATCGCCGTCTTGGCCACATCCTCTTCAGAAATAGCCATAATGACGCTCAATAAGCCAGCTTACACATCTCAGCCGTTCCCCCTGGCCACAAAAAAAAAAGACCGTAAAGCAAATAAATAAAAGAAATAAAGGCAAAGCCCTAAAAAAGTCAATAATAGTCGGGAATATGGTAAGCAATGAATGCCGAATGCCGAATGCTGAATACTGAATGCTGAATGCTGAATGCTGAATGCCTCCCCGAACCGGTTCGGGATGACATAACACCTGGCTTTAACGACAGATTATTGGCAAATGTGTAAGAAAGAGGCGAAAGGAAACCAGCCAAGACGACAGCCAGAGATGCCGGACAAAAAGGTCACAAGAGAGACAAAAGCCGGCAGTAGGCGAAAAACTCTTTGCTGTACAACAAAATGCTTTGGCCTTTGCCTGCCACCCGTTGCCATTTCACTCTGCAAATAGCAGGCAGCAAATATCAAAAGGCAAATGCCAAATGAGACAACACCAAAATAATTACCGCCAATTTCTATGAAAACTTTCGCAAATGATTCGAATGGCCATTGGGCAGTGGCCAGTGGCAAGTGCAAGGCTTACCAATTGGTTTTGGCCCGAAAGCAGATGGCCCTCATTTGCATATGGCCGACTAACGAATGGCCGAACACGTGGGTGGAGTGGTGGGTGGGGCAGTCCGTCAGTCACCCACTACCGAGTGAACGCTCTCTGAATCCCCGATCAGGCTTGAAAATTGCTCAAACACCAAGCCCCCCTTCCCACCAGAAAACAACAACAAAATAATAATGAAAGAGAAATATATATTGTATATGTACTATGAAAATGAGACTCCTCGAGTGGAAGACTGTGTAGACATTTTCCATTCACTTTGCGTTTCGGTTTTCCCACCACCTCTCTTGATTGCTTTTCCAGACTGTGTCGGTTCATTGAACTAACCCCTCGCCCCGGCCCCGGCCCCAGACCCGGCCCCAGACCCGGCCCCGGCCACAGCCACAGCCACAGCCACAACCACAGCCACAGGCACATACCACACTCTGTACAGTTAGCTAATTGTTTAAATATTTATGTGAACAAGTTGAGTGAACTTTTGAGCCGGCAAGCAAAAGCGCAAGCGCAGGCAGAATACAAATATTGTCGGTGATCGAAGAGCCAGTAAATTCCTGCTAAAGATCAATAGATCCACGAGGGGGAAAGAGATATGTGTATTCGAGTTATTACTATACAGTTTTTGTCGTTATTTGTCCTTGCAGATATCGACAACGATCCCAATCGTGCTCCTCCCTGCGATCCCGCTGTCTGTGTCCTGCCCGACTGCTTCTGCTCGGAGGACGGCACCTCGATCCCCGGCGATCTGCCCGCCAAGGATGTGCCCATGATGATCACGATCACCTTCGACGATGCCATCAACAACAACAACATCGAGCTGTACAAGGAGATGTTCAAGGGCCGCAAGAACCCCAACGGCTGCGACATCAAGGCCACCTACTTCGTCTCGCACAAGTACACCAACTACTCGGCCGTCCAGGAGACAGCCCGCAAGGGCCACGAGATCGCCGTCCACTCGATCACGCACAACGACGAGGAGCGCTTCTGGTCGAACGCCACCGTGGACGACTGGGCCAAGGAGATGGCCGGCATGAGGATCATCACCGAGAAGTACGCCAACATCACGGACAACTCGGTGGTGGGCGTGCGCGCACCGTACCTGCGGGTGGGCGGCAACAACCAGTTCACGATGATGGAGGAGCAGGCCTTCCTCTACGACTCCACCATCACGGCGCCCCTGTCCAACCCCCCGCTGTGGCCGTACACCATGTACTTCCGCATGCCCCACCGCTGTCACGGCAACCTGCAGAGCTGCCCCACCAGGTCGCATGCCGTCTGGGAGATGGTCATGAACGAGCTGGACCGTCGCGAGGATCCTGCCAACGACGAGTACCTGCCCGGCTGTGCCATGGTCGACTCCTGCTCGAACATCCTGACCGGCGATCAGTTCTACAACTTTTTGAACCACAACTTTGATCGCCACTACGACCAGAACCGCGCTCCTCTCGGTCTGTACTTCCATGCCGCCTGGCTGAAGAACAATCCCGAGTTCCTCGACGCCTTCCTCTACTGGATCGACGAGATCCTGGCCAACCACAACGATGTGTACTTCGTGACGATGACCCAGGTGATCCAGTGGATGCAGAACCCACGCACCATCAGCGAGGTCAAGAACTTCGAGCCCTGGAGGGAGAAGTGCGTGGTCGAGGGCAAGCCCGCCTGCTGGGTGCCCAACACCTGCAAGCTCACCTCCAAGGAGGTTCCCGGGGAGACCATCAACCTGCAGACCTGTGTGCGGTGCCCCAACAACTACCCATGGGTCAACGATCCCACTGGCGATGGTTTCTTCTAAGTCAGCGAGCGAGATGATCTTTCTGCCCCTCCCCCCCCCCCCCCCCCCCCGTCCCAGTTCCACTCCCAGTCCCAGTTCTTGTCCCTCTGGCGAGGCTCCTTTCTCTGAGCTCTACCAGCCACTCCACAGCCACTCGATCAATCGACAATTTTTGAATTTCCTTCAAGACTTTTTTTTTATTTTTTTATTGACTGACTTTCCGAGCGCCTCCCCGGGGCAAGTCCTTGCTGTGTTACGGTTACATTGAGACAAGATGGAGACGAAAAGATGGAAAGAAAAACTCTACAACAGAAAAGCGAAAAAGCGAACAACACCAACCACAAGGGAGAATCAACAGCATCCACATCCACACTTGTGTCTAAATTCTTTTTTTGTAGTTTTACGTTAATTTGTATGTGTATATTTAAATGATAAAAAATAAAAACGAAAAAACCACAAAAAAGTATATAAAAAAAAAAAAACATCAAGAAAACAAATTATGGATTTCTCAATATTATTTCTCTCTCTCAGTTTGCTCATCAAACAGCCGAAAAATGCATAAATGCAGATGGGCTTAGCTTATGGGGGGTGGGGGGTTATGGCATGGAGACCCAGGCGATCCCCAGCAACAGAAATCGAAACCACAATAATTCAACCCAATTTGTATGCTACCTACTCTACCCACTGACTTACTAACCAGTTTCTCGGAATTATCCGACAGGAAAAAATAAGCCGCAAATTTGAATAACAATAACGCGTTTTGTGTTCAGTTTCGATTTCAGTTGCGAGTCCCGTCCCCCAGCCCCCAGCCCCCCGCAGACCCCCAGGCACCTCCTTCATATGGTAATTTTCAGGTTTTTCATTTCGGGCACCTAACACCGAACGCTCCAAAGTGTCGATCCGGTCTAGAATTAGATATATTAGTCTATAATATACACACATAAAGTATAAAATGCCTCTCGAGATTTGCTAATTTGTATGCGCACAAATCAATGCAAAAGCCAAAACCAAAACCAAAGCCAAAGCAAAGGCAGAAGGAGATGGCGATGGCGCTGGCGCTGGCGATGGCTGTGGAGATGGAGATTTGGCTCTGCTGTGAAGCTGTGGAGCTGTGGAGCTGTGGAGATGGCCAAAACTGGTTCTTGGGCCTGGCTCGGTTTGGGGTGTGACATGGGTCTGGGCTTGGGGGCTCTTTGCGCAATCCCCAAACAAATCGAAAAAGCTGCTAATTAATTTTAAGCATTGCAAATTTTTGCTGGAAATACCACAGAGATATATTCACAGACACATATGAAATTCATACGATATTTATATGCTTTACACATTTATTTAGCTGCACAAATGAATATTATTTAGCTTTTTTGGTACGAATTCGACGCATAAATAAGTTTTATCACCAATCAAGGTAAGCGGCTCTCTGAGGCTTCAAAAAGTGGCCCAAAAAACGAGTTCCCTACGATCGCCACACCATGCCGTGTGTGTGCTGCTGTGTGTGTGCTGCTGTGTGTGTGCATCTGTGTGAGTGTAACTTGAGCAAACTTTTACTTTTGCCAAGCCGAGGTAAGTGAACTAGTTGCAAAGTGGGCGATTTGCATAAATTGCACACGGGACGACGACAAACGACAAACGCAGGCTGGCAGGTAGGACAGCCCCTGTCCTCAGCTGCACAGTGGATCCCAGTCGATGTAGTCGGGGTGGGGATATATGTAGTACAACCCAACAAAAGCACAGTTTAAATGAGTTAGCTCGGAAAATCCATGCAGGAAATCTGCGAAAAATGGCAGAGTAAAAGGATACTTCGTCTCCACACACCCTTCCTTCTGATTTTAAGCAGCTTCCCTTTCCCATCGTTCTCTCTAGAGCTTCACAGCTGTTCTATTAATTAATTTCATTTGCTTCTGCTTTCTTCGCGTCTCTCCTACCAGTGTGTCCGACAAGTGGCAGCGGCTAACCAGCCGCACAATTCTCGAATATGCTTCCTGGTTCTGAGAGTCTTGCTCCATTTTATGTGAATATGCTAGTTACTGGCTATTCGGGTGACGTCAATGCGACAAGGTGATCAGACATGGGACCCAGCCAGGTGCTGGGGCTGTGACGTCGCCCTGGGGGCAGTGCAGGAGAGAGGCCAGGCCATTTACGGATGAGGCTCCCCGCAAATGAAATAATTGCATAATCACCAAGTCGGCAAACTGTTGAAAATGTTTAAAAAAGAAAAGAAACAGATCGCAGTTGATTGCCGATGATGAGTTTTTCAAATGGAAATGAAAATTGAAAGTCAAAGGCAAAGGCAAACAAACACTCTTCCACACGCACACACACACACACACACACACACACACAGCAATGGAGGCACAGAGACACGCACATTGTCTTAAATACTGAAGATATACTAAAAAGAAAGTCCGTTATTTGCTACAGGCCTTCGGATGCTCTTGGCTTGCCATAAATTAAACGCCCCACAGCCCCACAGCCCCTAGCCGTCCCCCGGTGCGGATCGAAGCCGATGATGACGACGATGACGATGATAGGGAGAGCCAGAAGGAGAAGGCAATGGCGAAGGAGAAGGAGAAGATACAACAAAGCGGACGAAGGGTGGTGAGGGGCCCGTTATGCAACTCTCCAGCTCGCGTTTTTTTTTGATTTTTTCTGTTTTTATGGTTATGCATTTCTTTTACAGTTTACAGGCTCATCTTCAACTTCGACTTGGCTCGGTTTATTGTCTTGGCCATCACACCAGACTCCACACTCCACACTCCACACCATTTCCTTCATTAACAATTCCGTTTTTGTACGAAGAAATTTCTCTTTTCTCAGCCAAGACCGAGCCCGAGACTGAGACTGAGGCTGAGACGACCCAAGCTTGAGCGCTCTGCTGATCAAGGACAGCTTTGGCTGCTGCTGGAAAAAGGTCTAATCCAAGCGTTTTGCTTCTCCAATTAGTATGCAAAATAGTTATGCGTTAATTGATCGAAGGACCATGGAAAAGCCCACTGGCGGGGCGTTGTTTTTTGATTGTTTTTGTACGGATCAAAAGTGTGTCACTCACTCTGTAAACTCGTATGGACGACCTTTCAAAGCAGAGCCCACAGCAGCTGCCAAAAAAAAAAAAGGTTAAAACGCTTACAAATTTAAATCAAATCGGAAACAATAACAGCAACAACAACAGCCACAAAATCGAGGGCAACTAAATTATGTAAATCCGTAAAACCCATCGACAAAAAAAACACCAACGATGATAAAATAAAACGATTTTCACTCTTCATCTGGTCATCGCTTTGGGGCGCCCAGTGCCCAGTGCCCATCATCAACATTTTCACTCTAATTGAAAAACCAGTTTTAACAGTTGATTAAACAGCGGAAAGATGCAGCACAGTAATAATAATAATCAGCTTTTTTTTTGGGTCTTTTTTCGTTGGCTGGCTTTCCGATGAGATTGAGGGATTATATCACACCAGAGCGCAGAAATTAATTGTAACTAAGAAACTGAAAAGAAAAAAAAAAACAAAAACCTGCAATCGGCAACCAATTTTGCAAGCAGCAGCCGCAAGAAGGTGAACCGCTTTTTGCAGCATCTTCGTGCCAAGTGGCACGACGGCAACCTTCACCCGTGTGGCTGCCACTCCACTCCACTCCACTCCAGTTGTGGACTCCATCCAATTGGTAATTGGCAATTGGTAAATCGTACGAGTACGAGTATATCGCAATTAAAATGTAATTGTCATCTGTGGCAATTCCAAGAATTTTCCAGCACACCCGCCGCACAATGCGCATACGCCACGTTGCCACGTTGGCACGGCCTTTCTGTCCGTCTGTGCATGTTCTCATTTGCCTGAGGCTCTCTGCGCGACACCACAACAGAACTCGTTTTCAAGTTCAGGAAATGGCTATGCAATGTGTACATATACTCGAAATACTCGAATAAATTGCATTAACACGCCACCAGCCATCGATTCCTTCTAGATCGGACACGAATAAAACTTAATTGACATGGCTCTGGCTCTGGCTCTGGCTCTGGCTCTGGCTCTGGCATGGGGCTGTCTATTGGTCCATTGATCAGCGGCTAAGTGATGCAGTCAACAAATAAAAAAGCAAAAGGGGGAAACCATTGGAGAAACACTTGACAGATTCGTGCTGATGATCAATTGCCCTATCGATCGCTACAATGGGAAAATAAATCAAGTCTGTTTGAGTGTTTCTGGTAGGATCAGCTTATCAGTTCTGTTCCTTCTCTCTGAAGACACACCTCTGATGGTCTTATGGTTCAACACCTCCAAGGAACTCTCATTTCTCAAACCCTTGAGACGTGTACCGCTATGCTTATCTCCGAATCTTCTGATTCTTCATTCCCTGCGCAAATGTTGACCATTTCCTGTTGATTCTCTCGATTCCCGTTACAAACTGGATGGGGATCGGAGTATGCCCGGAGCACACAAGGTTTCTGCGGGCTGTCCCCAACAATTTCATATCCGCAAACATGCTCCGTTTTGTTGCTGTTGTTTCTTCTTGTGTACACACACTCGGGGATCGCTTATTGAATAACAGGGCCTGGCCTGGCCTGGCCTGGCCTGGCCTGGACCGATCGCTTGGTATGTGGTGGCCCTTAAATCGTGTGCTGCTGTGCCCCTGCACCTCTTCCATCTGCTTTACATAACAGCGAACGGAGAGTGCAAAAAGAGGGTAAACAAGGCAAAAACAGTTAACAACGGCATCATTAATTTGACATTAATTAAAAAAACCTCATGATCTTCAGAGGCAGAGGCAGGGACAGAGACAGGGCCAGAGCCAGAGCCAGAGCCAGAGATGGAGGTAAATTTAACAACTGGTGACTCAGCGGCAATCGAAAACAAGACTCTCTTTTGCTGGAATACCTGCGGCAGGAGAGGTTTAATAACCTTTTAGTGTCTTAGCCACGTTAACAAGAATTTTATGCGAGCGATGTGCTTGGCATAACCGATCCCCGGACAGACACCGGGAGGCTCATCGTAAGTTCCAGACCCAGCCAGGCCGGGCTTCTTTAATATGCAGCGAGTGTCCGCAATTGGGATTCTCGGATC